ACAGAGCTCAAGTTGGAACTTGATTTTCTGACTTGGTTTGTCAGTTTCAAACATGCCTGTGAATTGTGCCTTGAAAAACAAGAGCCTATGTAGAGATTGTCCTTGGAGGGTACATGTGTTAGCTTCTGGAAACGCAGGAAACGGGAGAACTTGTGTTATGGTCCAGGCTTTTTTTTTTTTTTTTCGCTGTTAAATGGAAGTGTGGCACTATAAAAAGCTGCACTTGGTTTTAGGAGTCTCTTGACATGGCTACTTTGAGCGACTTGTTAGTGTTCTAAACCATTCTAATTATTCTCCTTGGACAGCTGTTGTAATGCTAATTTGGACTGGAAATTTTCTGAAAAGGTGTTCCAATCATGGTTTTAGGTTGCTGAAGCAAACACTTTTAAAAGTGAAATGCTTGTATTGGAGATCTCACTAAATCTGATCTCTAACTAGTGCAATCACTTCCAATTTTTCCATGTTAATAATTAGATGGACTTGTTTTCTCTTCCCTCAAATATTGAGAACTTAAAAGTGAATTTTCAGTGTGATGGAACTGAATAATAATTTGTCCTCGATGTGAGTCTATCATTAAGATTGGCATTTTTTTCAAAAGCTGGTGCTTCAGTGATTATTTTTAAAAGAATCACTTAACTGAATTAGGAGGTTTGTTGCTATAATATTCTCTGTAATGTTTAGGGAATGTGAAGTACGTGACATAGAAAACTTTTTGATTTTCTGCTAAGGAGTTTTTTTCCTTGACTTGGGATTTTTTTAAAAAAAACTCAGTACTTGAAGAAAAGACTGTGATTGCACTCTAATTTAAAAGGAAAATGCATCTTGAGAGAGGTGCTGAAAATTTGAAATGGGTATGGGAAAATGTGAGCATTTGAGAGCTGATTAATTGATATATTTAGATCTTAAAGTATATTAAAGGTCTGTCCAAACTGACTGGATTTAAAATGCCTTTCGATGGGAAATGACTGTAGAGTACTAATAGTTCTGTCTGTCAGTGGGAGTAGTTGTGCTGATGAAAATGAAAACACACCTCAATATGCTTTTAAGTAATTAGAATAAATCCCTTAGTTATCTTTAACATACTCCCCCCTCCTTCTCCTTCAGGCAAAACAAACATCTGTGGATTCGAATTCTAGTTTTTCATATGTCGTGAGTGGAGGCCTTGATAGCACGGTTAATATCTGGGATTTGAAATCCAGGAAGGTTTACCGTAGCCTTAAGGTAAGTTTTGCTGAGGAAGAGCTGTAACTTTCCTGTTTCCAGGTTTTGCTGCCAACTGTAAAAAATGTATTTTCCTAAGAAATATGTCTGTAGGATGAAGGTCACAGATAGGAGCTAGCACACATCTGGGTCTTGTTCAAGTTTGTGTTCTTTATGTGCTGTAAATAGCAAATTTAACAAGGATATGTAACTTGATGTCTTCAGAGTACAATTCTATAATAATACATGTTTAAATTTTCAGAATATACTTCCTACTTTGCAAATGTTTATTGATATTCTTTGATGGGGAATTTTTTTTTCCAAGGGCTGCATTCCAGTAAATTGCTGTTTCTGCTACATCAAATGAGGAAACACTTTGGTATTTGTAGAATATTGTAGTAGAACTAATGTTATGCCAAACTGAGAGATGCTTGTCTTCTAACTGATCTAAGATGAATTCTCTAAAACCTTTTGATGATGCACAAAACTTAGGATGGTCCAGTATCTTTCCATGATGTCTTCAGTAGATTATTTGCCCTCATTTAGCACCACTGTTACAGAGGCCATAAAACTTCAGCTTTGATTTATTCTTTTTTCTTGGGCTTTCAGTGTTACAGTTTGAAATATAATTGCTAGGTAGCTTATACAGTGCTTCAAATATCTTTTCCTAATTTTTGGGTTGTCTTCCCCTATATATTCATTAAACACAGTATCTTCGTTGTCACTGACTATACAGAAAAGTTGGTTGGTAAATGTGTGTATTAATACCAAAAGTGACAGAAGGGGAAGTTGCAGTAGTACATCAGATTAACAGAAAGTATATTCAAATATCATTGGTTTCTGGGAGACTTTACTTCTAAAATGACATTAATAACACCTGTGGTAGATGTCTCTGTGGTTGCCCTATTAGAATGTTGTATATAATTACAGCTAATTTGTTAAAATCATCTTCTGAAAACAGTCAGATGGTGGGTAAAGTATAATGACTGATCCTCAGCATGTTCTGCTGCTGTTTTCTGTGATAATCCATAACAGCTCTTACATAATGTTTTTGAATGTTGCAAATGGTCAGAAAAAAACACCTCATCTAGCTGAAGTTTTTCTGCAAAAGCACAGATTAGGAAGGAATTTGGTTATCCTGAATGCCTTTAACTGTGTCCCTCTAACCTCCCTTCCCTGCAGGATCATAAAGGTGAAGTCACGTGTATTGCATGTAATTTCAACGATAGCTACATCGCTTCTGGATCTTTGAGTGGTGAAATTATCCTACACAGTGTTACTACCAATTTATCAAGTACTCCTTTTGGTTATGGCAGCCAACAGGTAAGCTCTCTCTGTTAAGTTCCTTTCTAATTCACAGTCTTTAGAAAAGTATGTATCAAGAGCTTTTGTTACTCCGTTTGCTTTTAATTTTTAAGAGTGCACTTACAGAAGGGAAAAAGCAAACTGTTGTGTGCATTCTAGCCTTAAACAATAGGTAACATTGAAGCACGAATTCCTCAAGGACCTTTACTTCTATACAGGTTATAGCAGATTTTACTTTGTAGACACCTCTTCCTCAAGAACAAACTTGTAGACATCTTAGAACTGATCAAAACAGGTTGGCTTTACAAACCAGAGCAGGACTTAAATGCATGATTCAGTGTATATTGTTGCCAAGGACAAAGAACATATAGCCTGGGTTATGATTTATTCAAAGTAATCAGATTCATGGAGCCATCTGTACAATGGGGGTGAATATAAGCCTGTGTTTGGAAATAATTTATTTAATCTGGAGATTAAAATTGCACAGCTGCTCAAAGAGAAAAGCAATGAGATTTTATCTTGCCTACTTAGGTGTTTAGTTAAGATTTGGGGGAGCTAGTTTGAAGGAAGACTGTGCAAAAAAACAAGCACAAAGCATGTGTACTACTTAAGGACCTTGGTAGGGTTTGCCACTGCAGTTCCTTTCTGCAGACTCAAAAGATATTCAAAGAATTAGTGGGTATTACAAGGGCAATTCCCTTGATGAGAAGTGCTTTTGCAGTAGTATATGAGCTGTGTTGTCCCATTGGAAATTCCAGTGTGTGTTCTTAATGTGAATGTTGTCTTATGGGCAGCCATGTGTTTGTGTTCTAGGCATTCTTTTCTATTTTACTGAATCATTTTTACAGAGGTAGGAGCTACCTAGGGGTTGCAGAACTATTGCTTTGGTCCTAAACTTGACCTTTAATGTTGCATGGAATACTGAAGTTGTGACTTACTCCTTCTCTGTTACTGCAGCAGTTTTTTCAGTCCTCAATTGCAGATAGAGTGTCAAATGATTTTTTTCTGCTGTCTAGCATGAACAATATAACTTGGTGAAAAATCTCTAACAACCTCATAGCATCTTGGGAATTATGGTACACTTTCTGTTGAAAAATCTCTGTTAAAGGTGAACTGTCTCTGCTCTTAGGTGCCACAGTGTCTTTGATCTATCACCAGTCTCGTACTTATATTGAAGCAAAATTGTACTTCATACTTGGTTTGATCTTAAAAATCCATCTCTATAGTCAGTTCATTTTTCTGATTTGATTGTTATGTTCTTATGAAGAATGTGGATGTGAAGCAGGAGCTGCATGGGAAGTCTGTGGCAGATTATGCAGCTGAGGTGAACATCCAGATTGGGGGCTATGCTGCTAGTTAATTGGAAAATGAGGAAATTACATCAACCTGTTTGATATATTCAATTCTTTTCAGCAAAAAGTGGAGTAGGTATGCCATGAATAACTATTTTGGCAGATGAAATCAAGAGACCTACTGCAAAGCTGAGTGACCTTTTAGATGGGTAAAGCTATTTGAAGTGCTAAAGTAATTGCAAACACAGAGCTCCCATTCACATTCTAAAGGTTCTATAATGTTTTCTTAAGGAGAGCAGTTATTTGATTGCAGCCTTAATTTCAAATGGAATTGAGCTATAATTTTATGTTTTTTGGGTTAGCTGGTTAAATGTCCCAGTGTTTCATCTTCTATCCTAAAAATAGTCTTCACTTTTATGTGCAAAAATAGCTTTATTATTGTTTTGGGCTTTAATCAGTACTTGTAGAGAATTGCAGGATTAATTGTGCAGTGAGCAAATATCTGAAGACTTGTGTAATTCTGTTAAATTTAAAAAGCCTTTACTTGTTTTATGGCTTTGGGACCTGATTTCCTTAAGAGTCAACTTGGCTAGATAAACAGTGTATTGTCCTGTTTGATCCTGGCACTAGCTGTGTGGCTTAGGAAGGGTCATCACTGCCTAGTAACTTTTTTTAGAATTGAGGAATGTGAGGTCAAACCAACCTTATAAATTTTAGCTTGTCTGTGTTTGCTTCAGCATGATGGAATGTAGTTTCCTTGCCAGCTAATTTCTCATATTGTGTAGACGCTACAAGTAGTAGACTAGCCCAAGGTTGCAGTGAATTCTGTGACTTCAAGCAGTTTTCTTTTCGTAGGAGTATTGGCCTATATTCTATTAATTGATTTTGATTTAGAAACACCTTTGTGCTTTATTAGACTTGAGTTCTTGCACAGAGTTGTTTGCAGATCCCATGATTTGTCTTTGCTGTTGGCATTCATTTTGACTACCAGATTCTTATCAACTTGCTGTTGTGAGGATGAATTAAGGTTTGTTTCGAAACATTGTTTGTTCAAGTCTTCACTGCCTGGTGCTATTCTCCTAGCAACGGGATTTAGTTTAGTTGTTTGAACAGCTGGCTGATTTGTAAAGAAGTGTGATGGGTTCTGGTCGCACCATATAGTGAAATAGTCTTTGGCTTTTAAAGCTAAAAGTGGGGAGCAGTGGTAATATGGGGAATGTACGAAAGAGAATGGAGAACTTGCCTGGACCTGTGAGATTAAAAGGATAAAGGAGAAAAGGAAGTGGCAGACTTTGGTAGGATAGCAAGGGAGGCTTGGGGAGAACTAGAAGAGAGTAATCTTGGTGGGTGGAAGGACAGAGGAGAGAGAAAATGGAGCATGTGTAGATGCCAGGGCAGTGAGGAATGTATTTGGAGATGAAGAATTGAGAAAACTTAGGGACAGGAATGTTCCACATGTAGGTCACAATGTAATTGAAGCTGTTATTCCTGAATCTCTCAATGCTTTTTTAATATAAATAAACTGAAAAATTATGATAGAAGTGTTTCCATTGTGTCCAGTAGAGGACCATATTAATGCTGAACAGTCATATTCAGTCCTATTTCAATATGCAGTTGAAGGTGCCACCTCTTTAAAGCAGTTTGAGGCAATTAGGTTTCCAGCAAGACATGCAATACAAGTGCTAGAAATTATGCTGGAAGCATATGAACCAACACATATCTTCATTAAAATGAAGTTTAAGAGAGAAATAGGATTGTGGAGCACCATGATAGAATAATACAATAGCTTTTAGAGGGCGTTTTCAGCCAAATAAAGTATAACAGCTCTTATTTGACTGGACTTGAATAAAGTACTTGATTCAGTACCTTGTGAGAAAATATTAGAGGATGGGTAAGAAATTGGTTATATTGATAAACCAAACAAATATTTTCTTTCAGTATCTAATCTTTAGTATTTTCAGCATTGCTTATGATAGTAGAAGTAAGGGCAGCAAAGCAGGTTTGGAGTACAGGTCTTATGAGGAGTGGCTGAGCCAGCTGGGGTGTTGAGCCTGGAGAAAAGGATGTTCAGGAGGGACCTTATTGCTCCCTGCAGCTACCTGAAAGAAGGTACCAGCAAGGTGGGGGTTGGTTTCTTCTCCCAGGTAACAAGCAATAGGACAAGAGAAAATGGCCTCAAGTTGTGCCAGGGAAAGTGTAAATTGGATCTTAGAAAAAAATTCTTCACTGGTGGTCAGGCATTGGAACAGGCTGCTCAGGGAAGTGGTGGAATCATCATTGTTGGAAGCATTTGGAAAACATGTAGGTGTGGGACTTAGGGATATGGTTTAGTGGTGAATATGGCATTGTTGAGTTAAGGGTTGGACTCTATCATCTTTGAGATCTTTTCTGACCTTAACAATTCTGTGATTCTAAGCAGAGCTATAATGAAAGAGTTGGAAGGTATTGCCCATAAAAGAGAGGATTGTGTCAGTATCCAAAAATGACTGAAATAATAGACATGAGAACAACTGTGAGAGAGTAGAAGTAAGGTCACTTATTCTCACATTTCTTACTGAAGCTTTTCTTAATAGAGCAGGATTTGAAAATTCCCAGGGGAAATAAGGACTTTGAGGAGGAGCCAAAACAGACTGGATTGCAAAAGAAAAATGCTATCTAGGATATGGTTAATGGAGGAAGTGTTACTGCCTTTGCCAAAGCAGTCACAGAATATTTTGAGGACCCTGTAAGATTTTGGTTGTCCATGTTCAAGAAAGGTTTAAACTGGGAGAGCTGTGAGAAGACTGTGATGGTACTGAAATAAACAGTCTTGGGGGACTCTCTCACTTACTGTTTATAGCAAAATAAAGCCTGAAGGAAGGTGAGATTGCTGTTCATTAAAACAGGGGAAAGCAGCAGTGGGGAGTTAGGAAGCAGTTTAAGTGTAAGGGCATTGCGGTCACAGGAGTGAATTGGTGCAGATGGGCCATAAGTAAAATCAATTGGGAAATTGAGTATTGTAATTTAGTATTATTCCGTATTATGTGGTTCTGTGATAGCAAGGCCACATGTGATAAACCTCTTCTGTGGTCCTTGTCCTCAGGATGAGGTCTGTTCTTCTGCAGGACCTACGTACTTGCTTAACTCTGGAGTCTGTCTTACCAAATTGGCTTATATCCAAGTACTTAAAATCAGTGAAGGGGAATTAAGTTTAACATTATTGGCAGGAGACCAGTCAGTGAAATAATGTACCTTTTCACTCCATTAATTTTAGATGTGCTGTGGGGTTTTTTGTATGAAGGCATGATACTTGCTGCAAAAGTAAGAAACTTTTCTAGAAGTTCCAGGGTTTTTTTTTGTTGTCCTTCATTTGCTGGTCAGCTCCTATGGTACCCCATAATGGTAAAAAACCCCAGTTTGCCCCCCATAGCAAAAATAGCATTGTAATGCAAAATGAATTTTTCCAGTTCTACTATTCATATTTCAGAGTGGAAGTCTTTGTAAACTTCTTTAACTTTGTATTCCTAATCTGTTTGTGTGTTTAGAAAATAATTTAATATGGTGTTTAATATTGGTATTACAATGCATTTTTTTATGTCTGTTTTACAGTCTATTCGACACTTGAAATATTCATCCTTTAAGAAATCCTTGCTGGGCAGTGTTTCTGACAGTGGAAACGTGACTCTGTGGGATGTACATAGCCAGAAACCATATCATAATTTTGACAATACTCATAAAGCACCAGCTTCAGAAATTTGCTTTTCTCCAGTCAATAAGCTGCTGCTTGTAACTGTAGGCTTGGACAAAAGAATTATTCTCTATGACACCCTAAGTAAAAAGTGAGTATATTAAAGACCTTGTGATTTTAGAAGAATCCTTATTTGGGTTTTATAAACTGAAAAAGCATGTCTAACTATGACATGAGACATTCAGCCCACATTCAGAATGCTTGAAGTGGTTGGCATAGCACTGCTGGAGAACCTGTCCCATAGTCCAATTTGTTTTTTTATTTAAAAAAGAAACAGACAAGTAAAAGCAAAGCATGTGGGAACTGAGATCCTACATGTGAGTAACCACTCCCAAGTGCTTATGTATGAGTTTTTCTTGTTGATAGAGAGGAGTTAACTTCTGTGAGGAGCAGTACAGCCTGTGAGGCCCTTCAGCCACTTGAGCTTAGCTTGCCTGCTTTTCTAGTTCCAGATGCAAGATATAACTGTGGTTGGTGCACACAGCTGCTGAGATAGTGAGCCTTAAATATGGGAGTATATTGGCTGAAAAAGCAGGAAGTATGGGACATAGGTGATGGAACTGTGTAGTAAGAGGGTAGGATGGCAAGTGGTTTCATGGGACTTTGATTCTAGTGTGAGTTGTGCTTTCACTCCAGCTGAATAAAATCAGGAGTCTGTTTGTAGTTTGGAGGGGTGTAATAGAAGGATGCAAACTAGGACCTGAAGTTCTTCCTAGAGTTGTGGGAAGGTTAGAGCTGATAGGCTTGTGAAGCTAAAGGATGTATGTAGCGTAAGTCTAAACTACTATGCTGTAAGATATTTCACTGAATTTTCTTGGTGCTGGAGAAGTGGAACTACTGACCTGTAGCTGAGTTATGAAAGCTTTGAGGTATATATATTTATATACTCTGTGTTGAAAAGTCTAACTTGTGAATTCTACAAGCTTCTTTATCCTGTCATTTCTCCTATTTGAAGGTTACTGACAACAATAGCAACTGATCTTCCTCTGACAACAGTAGACTTCATGCCTGATGGTACTACTTTGGCTATAGGATGTTCCCGGGGAAAAATCTACCAGTATGATTTAAGACAACTGACATCACCAGTGAAAACAGTTATTGCTCACAAAGGCTATGTGAAATGCATACGTGTTCAGTTCAGTAGTACTTCCTCCAAGGTGAAAAAGAGCTTTCTTTCTCATTGCTAAAATTCAGATTAATGAAAGCAGTGCATAAGTTTAAGTTCTAAAAAACAGGTTAGCATTCACTTTCTAAGCATTATAGATGCCAACAAAACTGCTCAGTCTTAAGTGTCATTTTAGTGCCATTTGTAATGTGACATTGCCCTCAGTTCTAGCCTCAGTGTAAAAATGAGTGGAACTTAGTCTTATATTTCCTGGGTGGTTATACTGCCATGTAATCTCTTTTCCTATGTCTAAACCTAAGGTAAAAATTGGCTCGTGCCTGGTCGCTCCATTGTTACCTTAAGTTCTGTTGCTATTCTGATGCAGGTCCTCACAGTATTTATATAATAACACAGATGTTTCCCATGTTCTTTGAAGTTACATTAAGATACCTTTTTTATATTTATAAAGGCATATCTCCTAGGCAACCTTTGTAACTTGAACTGAATTTTTCAGGTGTTCTGAAACCAAGTATATTGGCTTATATTTTTACTTTTACCTGAAGGAATAATAACTTCTCTTAATTGGATCTATTTTTTTTCTTCAGTCCAATCTCACAGGTTCTTCAAATAAACCTGTATCCAAAAGAGGAGAAGTCAAAGGCAATAGTAATCTTGGAGGAATTCAAAATACTGGCATCAAAAATATTGCCTCTCAAGCATCAGCAACAGTTTCCTCTCTTCTTACTTTGCCAAATGAGAATAAAGGAGGAGAGATTCTTCAGGAGAAAACAGGTAGTGTCTTCTTCCTATTCTTATAATAATTTTTGGCATAATGGAGAAGATGAAAGGAATATTTGACCATTGCAGTATATAAAAATTTCAGTGAGGGAGGGTATTTGTTTTTAAGTACGGTGTCTATGTGCATGCACATCTGCACCTTCTTTTCCCTCCCCTACTGCATTATGCATACTATGAGACTGTAAGAAGTGAATTGGGTCCTGATACAAGCTTAAGATACATGAAGTCTAAAATTTTGGACTTGAAGTAGAAGTATGTATTTACACTTTAAAGGAGAAAACTCTGTGGTGATACTGTGGGATTATGTCTTGCATTCTGACTTCCTGTAGGTTATCTTTATGTACCTAATGTAGTTTCTGATGCAGTGTCTGCATGAAATGCAGATCTAATGGTCAGTAATTCTTTAATAAATAGGAGTAACAGATCTTACCTAAAAGAAACCCCAGCCAAACAAAACACAGGAAAAAACCAAAACCCTAGCTGAAAACCCCAAGTGAGAACTGAACTGTACTTTTGTGAGGCATGATTCCAGTATCACATGGTAGGAAAGATGTTAAATATAGTTGCAAGTATGATTAGTTGTATAACTGTACTTGCTATTTATGCCTCTGAAATTAACAAGTTCTTTATAAGAAATTCTGAGCATTCTAAAATTCTGCCATTGTGTGAAATGTACTTGTAAAATTTATTTAATTCAAGAGGTCTGAAAATATGATCAAATCAGTAACACCGTGAGTTTGATTCTTGACAAATAAAATCCTCAATCCATATTAATGCAACAGCACTTTCCCCCCTCCCTTTTTAAGTAAGGAGAAATAAATTTAGTGACAGTGATTAGGCAATAAGCCACTGCAGTCCATAGAGATGTGTATTAATGACCTCCCTTGGGTATGCAGTGAAGTATGAGGTGAAATAGAATGCTTCCTATGCATGCAAGAAGTGTTGCTAATCAACATTACTGAACAGTGTGGAAAATTTAATTCAGTTAAAATACACAATTTATTGTCTTTATTTGAAGATGTAATGGCTCTTAACCCCTTAAACAGGACCATGCGTAATAAATAGATGTTTTAAGAAAATAAGGGCTTACCAAAGTAAACCAAATAGTTTTCCTTAAACTTCACTTTTGAAGTAAAGACCTCTGAATACAGAAGTCTTTAAACTTAAAAATCAGAGAGACCAGAAACTGCATTTCTGTGGAAATTTTTCTAGACCCTGATTATCAGATGTAGCTTTGGAGAATTAAAGGAGCATTCAGTAAAGTGATCTGATAGCATATGTAAGCAAAAAAAAAGTGTTCATCTAGCTTGTAAATGGTCTGAGGCTTTTTGTCACAGGTATTTTTAAAGTACAGAACTATAAATGAAGCCAGAATGTGCTGAGAAATTTGGGTGTACTTTGAGCTGGCTTCCCATAAACTCTATGTAACAACTGTTCTCCAGTTTAGGTACTTTGCTATGTTTAGATTACTGTGCATGGATAAAAATGCACAAAACATATTTTGCCCTATTTTATGTTTATGCTTTTTCCATGTAGATCCTCTAGATTCTGGCACGGGTTGATACTGAACTTCTAGTTTGACTCAGTATGCCAAGTACTTACTTAACTAGCAAGTGCAGTTCTATGTATGTGTCACAACTGACACATCTGAAAGAGTGGAAAATGTGATCCTTTTTTTGGAGTGAGACATAAAAGGATGGTGTATACCCAGTGGAAGCAGGGTCAGGTGACATGGGAGGAATGCAGAGATGCAGCTCACCACTGCAGGGAGAAAAATCCATGTGGCCAAAGCTCAACTGGAGCTGAAGCTGGGCAGTACTGTGGGGGGGACACAACATAAAGAATTTCTGTAAGTACATTAATGGCAAAAGGCATTGTAGAAATTACATCAGCCCATTACAGGATGAGGATGGGCACCTCATAGGGGCCCTCAGCAGGGACATAGACAAGGCAAAGATCTTTTATGTTTCTTCACCTTTGTCTTCAACACTGATGGTGGGCCTAGGGGGCCCCAGCGCTCTGAGCTGGAGGAGAATAGCTGTGAGAACATTATACTCTCAGTTGCCTGATGCTGTGAGGGAGCTGCTGCTCCAGCTGGACCCATGCCAATCTATGGAGTGTGATGGGATTCATCCAAGAATGCTTAAGGAGTTGGCTGATGTCATTGCAAGGCCTCTCTTGATGCTTTTTCAATGGTCTTGGGAATTTGGAGAGGTGCTGCTTGACTGGAAGCTGGATAATGTTGTCCTGATTTTCAAAAAGGGCAGGAAGGGTGACCCTAGTAACTTACAGGTCTGTTAGCCTCACTTCTGTACCTGGTAAGATCACGGAAAAGATTATCCTGGGAGGTATCGCAGAACACCTGAAAGATAACACAGTCACTGGACACAGCCAGCATGGATCCATGAGGAGAAAGTCCTGCTTGTCAAACTTCATTTCCTTTTATGGCGAGGTAGCCCACCTAGTTGATCGAGGGGAATCAGCTGATGTAATCTTTTTAGATTTCAGTAAAGTTCTCGATACCCTCTCTCTTGTATCCCTCTGGACAAAATGTCCAGCATAAAACTGGACAAACACACTAAGCAATGGGTGAGCAACAGGCTCACAGGTTGGTCACAAAGGGTTGTGGTGAATTACAGTCACCATGCAGTCACATTTGGATCACTTGAACGAGTATAGTCCCACACAGAGAAGTAGTTACAGCATTCATGAAGAGTGGTGGGTTTTTTCTATGTTAGTTTTTTTTTTCCTTTTTAATTAAAGTTGGCAAAAAGTAAAGCTTTTGTATGTACAGGTGATTTATTTTTAAGAGGTTTATTTATGTATTGCACAGCACTAATGCTTTGTGCCTGGATATTAAATTCCAAATCTCGACAGTTTTTGAGTTAGCAGTTCATTGAGGGTGGAATAATGGCTTGCTTGGACTCCTGATGTGGTTTTCAGACATACTGAATTGTGAGTGTTATTTAGGTGGTTGTCTGAGCAGTTCAATTCACTTCTCCATGTATTCCTCATCCAAAAATTGTAGTTTGAATAATTACTGAGTTTTTTTGGACTCGATATATGATTCCATTCTTCAGAGAACTGTCCTTGGTACTATGCGTACAAAACCCAACGTTCTTTTCCCTGGATTGAGTCAGGGATAGGGCTTGAGGGTAGAGTGAGGAAAGGTCTAGGAACAAGTTTGGTTTTTTGTCTGCAGTTGTAACTCCAATTTGATTTCCTAATATTAGGAATAAGCAGAGAATATCCTAACATTAGGTAAGCTTTAAAACAGATGTTTCATGGAATTTCCCTTAAAATGCTTAATGGCCCCAGTGCAGCAAATTTTTCTTCTTGAAGAACAAATTTAAATTTCCATCACCTGAATGTGGTAGCAGAAGGTACAGTCACTAGTTTTCATTTCACCTCATCCACCATACAATTGCTGCATCCATCCTGTAGATTTCTCTGAAAATGCTCCAATTTGACAACACTCCTTTCTAAAAAGAGGAAAGGAATCCCACTGTATCTTTTGTTAATGAATACCTTAGCTTTTAGTTATATTCACCTTTGTTGACAGCCCAAATGAGGTTAAAGTTGACCCTCTAACTGGCACCTGTAGAAGGTTCTAAAGTGCTTGCTGGACTTAGCAGGCATCCTGATTGCTGTGAGATTGTTTAGGCATAACATGTTGGGTTTTTTTTAACAGGTCAATTACTAACTGAATCTTCCTGTCCTTTTAAGGTTTTCCGCATAGTTGCAGCTTGGATGTCATTCTGTCTAAAGAAATAGACCATGGGAAAAGTGCTGAGTTAAATAGTCTTGAAGATATGAGTCGAAGTAGTTTAGGAGATGTATTTTCTCCAGTCAGAGATGGTAAGTTGCTAATACTGAAATCTGTAAAGCATCATCCATCTGCATATAGCCTGACATTTCACCACTTGTGCGTTATTGACTGCTGTACCAACGTGATATTTTAATTTGTCTTTGATTGTGAACTCGATGCAATGATACAAATATCGATGTTGGTTTCATTTAATAAACACTTTATTTGTCTGTGTTCTGATATTTTGCAGATCTTATTGCAAATAAAATGGCTGAAGATCCTCAGGGAAAAGGAAATGGTAAGCATATGCCAGTGATACACCTTTGGAGGTCTATGCTAGTTTTCCCTTGCTAATTTTATCATACTATTGTAAAAACCCCAATGAAAGCAGACACTGAAACAAATGAACTTTTCTGGAAACTGTCTTGACACACTGAGGTGCTAAGACACAATATGGTAGCAGGAAATCAAGAGTATGGTCCTAAAGTGATTTTATTTTTTTTTACCTTTATGCAATTTATAGTGATATACAAGAGGCTTTTCATGTCTTATTACTTTCATAATCATGGTGACAGCATAAGTTGGATTTAAGGATTTAGTTTTTATGGGGTGTGTTTTTTAGTGATTTTTTTGCTGTTGTTAATTGGTTTTGTGGGGGTGTGCAGGCATTTTCATGGTGGGTAGATTCGGTGTGTGTGTTTGTTTATTGACCTGTGTGTTTCATCTTTCCCTTTTCATTTCAGGTCTGGATTTGCCATCCTGCCTGGTGGGTTTGGATTTTCTCCCAAAGCTCAGCACCACCTTTCCAGTAAAAAGAACCCCAGTGGGCAGTAGTGCACAAGGGATACGTTCTAGCCCGTTACATGCACTTGGGGGATCTCCAGTTAAAGACGAGGAAGAACGTGCAGAGACTGACACTAAGAAATTAAGTCCTGGAAAACAAGAATCTAAAGAAGTCCTAAAGCAGGTATTCTTGTTATGAGTGGTCTTTTTAGAATCTTGACAGAATACCACTACTTGAATAAAAAAATCTTTAGTAATGGCCCATCCAATCTTACTTTACAACTCCGTTCACACTATTGACACAAATCTGTAAACCTTGTGTGGTTTGAATGCGTTGGCCTTCAGCAATGGAAGATCAGAGTATGTTTCTCTTAAATAAGCTCAGGTTACATAAGTTCACATGAAACAAAACTGGGCTAGCCTGAGGAGTATTTTGATTTTTCTAGAAAATCAAGAAGGGTCACTAGATTGCTGCTGGAGTATGATGGTTTGTTGATTTCACTCTCC